GCCCCTACAAACCCCACCCCAGTCTCTATAAAAGACTCTCCCTGCCCCAGCCATATTGCTTTTGTCTCTCCTTTGTTCAGAGACAGCCCGGCAGATCTATTCCCCTAATAAAGGCTTGTTGTGGCCTGGTCTGGTCTTGGTCTTTGGCCCTTTTACCTGACAAAGAGCCATTTAGGATGTGGGGCTGCCAGAGCCATTTTATCTAGCAGAGAACTCTATCAATGACAAGTTTCAAACCCATGAGCTACTGTGTAATAATGCTTTGTGAGGTGAATTGGAACTTTTGGATTGAGCTCACATTTGTTGAGACAGAGATAGATCGGAAAAAGTGCCAGAATTTTCAAGCAGTATAAATTGTATACAGCTATGCAGTCTAGTACTGCAAAACTATTTAGATAGTTGAAGAAAAGGGGAAGGATTTCATTCTTGGAAAGGAAAAAGATGTTTTTGAGGAACTGGCAAGGCAGCCATTTTTATTTAGATAACTTTCCAGATTTCTTGCATATGAAGTCTAGCAGGTTTGCAAAATGTATATTTGCATGACTGCTTTCTGTTTTATAGATTCCTGGTGAGATGAAAGAAAGTGATTAGAATGAAGATTAAATACTACATTTAAAGTTAGAAAATATTGGATCCAATACCTTTTTGTGCCAAGACTTGCTTTAAATGTGTCCATAGGCATAATGCACACATTCCACACACATGTGCTGGTGTTTTTAATGACATATTTTCTGACCTGCATAAGCCTTTTAAAAATATCTGGGCTATTCACTTTAGGACTGAGGGCTTTGAATCCAAAAATGACTGGGCTTATCAGTCAGTTCTACTAATTGAAGGTTTATGGTTTCTCAACTCTCTCACCCTACTGTAACTGGCACTGAAAAATGGAATGTAAAACATTTCATTTCTTTTTTCCTTTAAAGTCAAGTGGCCTCCAAACTTCCTCAGGCCTAGCCCCTAAGGGGCTTCCTCACTTCTCTTCATCCTAGGCCTGGGAGTCAAGCCCAAATTTATTCCCTTAGGCAAGGGAGGGATACTCTGGGTTCAGAAAGGAGTGGAACTATCGTGAAAATGTCTATTGTTTCAAAAGCCCCTGTCTCAGTTACATTTCTCTTTGCTGAGTTAAAATATCTGACACCCAAAGTTAAAAGAAGAAAGGTTTAGTTAGCTCACAGTTTTGTAAGACCGGGGGCCTTACCAAACACTCCGAGGAGCTGACTGCAGCAAAGAACACCCAGGAAGGAACACACCGGACAAGTTGGAAAGTAAAACAGACCTTTATTAGTCTGGCCAGATGGCACTCCCAAAACAAAATAGCTTAGAGAGGCAGCTGGCTCAGAGTCCGAGGCTGTTTTATAGGGGGAAGTTAACATATAGAATTAAAGAAAAGGGGACAAAGGTTAGTGGTCAACTGTCACGTATTGACAGTCAGCAGACATTTGCAGCTTGTTCTAAAAATTGTGGTGTCTGGAACATCAGTTCTGGGCAAACAGGGAGTTGAGTAGTTTACTTTGGGACTTTAGGTCTGTTACAGATTTTTATCTAGTGTCCCAAAACTAACAAGCATCTTTATCCATTAACTCACATTTAATCACAATGGGGCTGGAGAAAAGGAATAAAGGTTATGCAGTCCCACAGTTTGTAGAAGTTTCAGTTGATAATCAGCTGGCTCTAAGGCAGGGAAGCCCGGCAGACAAGCTTCAAAGCAGAGAAACATTTCATGGTGGGCAGAATGTAGCAAAACAAGCAAGGGATAACCACAACTCTTTCTATCCCTTATATCTCATTCAGGCTACCTAGGGCAGGTAGCACTCAGACCCTTAATCCTAGTGACATTGATTCTACCATTGTACCATGAATCAATTCCAGTGACATACACTAAATCCATCCACTTCATTTTTTTTCCCTTAAATTCTTTTATTGGTACATTTTAGGTATACAATACATTTACATTTCTCATTGGGAACTTGAACCTTTACATGAATTATCTTTGTTCTTATTTTTTCCCCATTCCCAGCCCACCCCTCATCCCCTCACCCTTCCCTATTTACAAAGACTTTGTTTCCAGTTATTTCCTTTTCTCATATTTTTTCCTTTCCCTTCTTTCCTTTCCCCTACCCCTCCCACTTCCCTTACTACTTTGGACCTTTTCTTCCTATTTTGAATTATCAATTATTCATTTTAATCATTGATACATTTTGGGTACACAATATAATGACATTCATCATTGGAAATTTGCACCTTTACATAATCTCTCTTGGTTCTTATTTTTCTGCCTTCCCCTGCCCTCCCTTCAACCCCTCCATCCATCCCTATTTACAAAGATTTTGTTTCCATTTCTCCATTTTCTCATATTAATTCCATTCCCTTCTTTCCTTTCCCCTGTGCCTCACACTTCCCCTTTCACTTCACCTCTTTTCTTCCTATTTCACATCCACTTCTGAAAAAGCCCCACCTATGACCACATGAGGCTTTGAGGGGACATCTATACGCAAACCATAACTAAATATGAAATGTGTTTCTCTGCAGTTAAAGCCAAACTTATTAGTGGAAAAGATTTCCCCATTCCCTCAATGCCTCTGGGCTCCAGACACTTCCTCTCAAGCATCTCAGGAATTTTCTTTGTTATTTTCTTTGTTTTTATTATTTCTATTCCCCTGCCAAATGTAAATGGGATGTGGCTCTGTGCACTGAGCTTGCTGTCTGTCCAGTTAAATTGCTGGGCCCAGATGATTTGTGCCCCATGTAACCAATCCAAAATGCTCAACTCCTGCAAGCCTGCCCCTCTCCTGAGAATATAACCTGCCCTGCTCAACCCCAAAGAGGGGTAAGTCTCTTTGTGGAGAAGTCTCAGACTGACATGCTGGTGTTAAAAATAAAACTGTACACTTTGCCTCCAAAACTTCTGGATGAGTCTTCCACTCTCCTGGACTACCTACCTGTCTGTGTGTTCTGGCTGCCACTTTGCCTCTACATTTTGGGGTTGGTCCAGGATGAATAGAGTGAGCTGATCACTTGATCCTGGGTTGAAGTCCTGTGGGCAGAGTGAAGGTCATTCTAGATCCTTAAAGAGACAGCACACTCAGAGCCAGCATTCTCTGAGCCTCTCTGGAGGACCTAGGGTGACAGCTGCTCCCTGCTTATGACTCCCCCAAACTCAAGGGAGCAAGGACGCATTGTCTGTTTTGGCCTGGCTGCCAGAGGAGGTAAGACCCTGGGGCACTATCATTAGTTCGTTTGGACCTGCCTGGGAGGGTGGAAGGAGGGCTTGGCTGCCCCTCAGGGGAATTGATGACCCCTTTAGCTTTGCTTTGATTTGTTTTGGTTTGGTTTTATCAGCTCAGTGAGAACTGACGTCCCTGTCCCCGGCTAGCTTAGGGGGTCATACTGAAATTCCATGGACACATCTAGAAAAGGCTAAATGGGTGCTCTTTTGATGAGAAATTCACCCTAGAGGCTGGACAATCCTTAAAATGGCTGAGAAACCCTCCGCCAATTGACCAACTGTGAGGCTCCTCCAGTAGGAGGGAAGGCTATTTCCCTTGTTTGTCTTGACTCTGCTCAAGGGGCAGTTTGTGAGAACCTCTGGATGTCTGTGTATGAATAAGAGTGTGACTGTAGCAGATGACATAAAAAGGTCGTTCTGCCTGTGAGGCCCCTCTTGGTAAAATGATATTTTATTTTTCCTTTGTATATGTTACATTTAGGCTTAATTGCTTAAAATTATTGTAAAATGAGTGTGTGAGTTCCCTCTAGCTTTGGTATTCAAGTTTCCTTATTTGTACAAAGGATTAATTTACCTTTCAATAGGTTGTTGTCTTCCTTCCATTTCTGCAAGCCAACTGGGAGATAATTTGTTTCTAAAACAGTACAAGTTTTCTTTTTGGTTTCACTTACAAAGTAAATGAGTCTCTATCTCAATGTTGCACATTTTTTTACATTTAGTTTAAGGCAGAGATTAAAAAAAACTCCAGGGCTACAGGGCATAATAGGCTATTCTTGCATCTCAGATGTCACTGGACGCAATGAGTAATCTCTGTTCTTGACCTACACCCACCTCAAGGCAGGAACTTTGTTATCATTCCCTCCTCTGGTTAAATGACAAATGTACCTTTCATCTCCAATTTAAAGTAATGTTTAATTAGTAGGCTTAAAACATTTCTTGCACATTGCAAATTCTTGCATTCTAATTACAGGGTTAACTTGGTCTTTCTATACTTTGTTGATAAAAACTTCAAGGTTAAAGAAAAAAAAAGGTAACTAAAATTTTAACAACTGAAGCCAAGCTTGCTATGAAAGGTTTATAGTAAGTGAATATATATATAAAATATATATATTTTAAAAGGTGACAAATAAAGAGGATATACTTTTGATATAAAAGTATTTGTATGTTTGTCTTGTTAGAAGAATAAAGAGAGATATATAAGACCAGAAGCCCTAGGTATGTCAAGAAGATATGCGGAAGTGTTTTATCAAAGAAATATGTATGTTTGCTTGTTGGTTTCAAGTTTGTTATAAAAGATTTACATTTACATGTATAAAGAGCTTTCATTCCTTCTGGTTCTAATTCTACAAGAGATCTCTGCTAATTGACTTACAAAAAGTTTTGATTACTCTTATTTATAATTTAAACCTAAAAATTATAAAGAGACATTATAATTCAATTGGGCTAAATATATTTGAGTGCACTCTAGTTTAATAAATTGTCCTGAGTCCCACTCCCAGTACAGAGGAGGTGAGACTCCCAGGTGCCAGCAGAACACTCCACCCCCATTGAAATGAGAAGAAACATGAACAAGCCTCAAACCCAGACTCCCAGATCACCTATAGCAACCCCAAAGGGAAACCAGATGGAACAATCTGATACTCAACAACCTGGACTCCCTGAACTGGCAACAAAAGAGGATCTGGAAAAAATGAAATCAGAAATTATTTCTCACATAACAGCAGAGATTGTGCCCATAGTACAAGACATGATTAATAAATCTAGACAGGACACACATTAAAAA